GTTGTCACCGCGCATATATAAATTTGAAAGTAGGGGTTGAGCCACTTCAAGCAAAGGCATTCGTGCGCCGGACGTTCTACGGGTAGCTGTTCGATATTTTTACAGTGTTGCATTGTTTCTTTTTATTTTAGTTGTACTTGTTCTATACAAAATTCTTTTCAGAACTCTGCTAAAATTAAAAATTTTAAAGGTAAGAAGATAATTTTTAATTAAATATGAATATGAATAAATATGAATATATTCAATAATGAAGTTTTCCAAGTACAATCTTTTAAAGTGAAAGTCTTTTAATTGAATTGTAATGACTTACTGTTAATATAATGAATGAATCATATAATTATCGCCCTATATAAATATTTACTTTGAATGGTTAAATACTTACAAGTAATTAAGTTTTCCAAGTAGGATCTTTTAAAGTAAAAGTATCTTAACTGTATTGTAATGACATCATAATTACTACTGTTTGGTAAATACCTAAATAAATAAATTTGAATCAAATCATTATTTATGGATCTACACGTTATTTGTACCTAACCAAAAAATCGTTCCTTTATCCTTTCTTTCGCAATTTACTGTTTCTATCATATATATTGGCAATATCAATAATTTCCTATCATAAATATTGGCAATATCAATAAAGTCATATACTTTAAAATGTTGATATAATATATGGCTGAATTTTTAATATGAATGAGTCAGATAAGTTAAATTATTAGAAGAATTTTTTTACCAAGCAACAAAAACAATGGAAGTCGTCAAATAAATTTAATTTCAAACTTAAATTGTGGCTTACTGCCAAATAAAATAGTAAATTGCATATTCTACCACAAGCAAATAGCTTCTGAACAATATCATTTTGTTAGGTAGTACGATACTAAAAATTTTCAATATTACTGTGATCATCCACATCTTGACAACATTGCAAACATTTTAAGATCTAGCCAGTGATTATTCAACGTGAATTCACGCGTAAATGTTCGGCTATATGCATCCTTTTTTGATTTTAAACTTTCTCACTCTGCGCAGTGCAAGCTCCGCCCATTTCACGGCATCCCTGTTGGCCTGTACATGTATAACAGTGAATACACATACCACATTCACTACATTCAAGCTTGCATGTACATTCTGTTTGTAACTCTTCCACAACATAAATTTCATTACTTGAAGCTGATGGCACTATCCAACCAACATCTATTGCGTCAACTTTACTTATATCCAGCATTTCACTTGATTTATGTCTTTGCCTTAATTCAGATAATTTAGTGCACACTTTCCCTTTATGAACTACAATAAGTCTTTCGAAAATTTTGTCTCGCACAAACTTTAATATGGCACTGATGGCTTTGTCTAATCTTTTAACATACTTTCCATTAAGATATATGTGTTTAATGGTCCTATATGCATATTAGTATTAAGACCACTATAGAGTCTAAAGCAATATGCCCAATGTTCTGCTTTATTAACATAATGTTGTTGAAAATAGTCAGCAAATTCTACAGATTCTGGGCTTCCTTGGCAAAAGTCCAAAAATTTTTGCATCAATGTATTAAAAGTGGCTATATCTCTTTCTTGCAACAACATTCTAAGCATTTGGTAAATGAGAATCTAAAAAATACATGTTTTAAGTCATATTTAAACACATTTAAGTATCTTTACCTTTTTTTCTTTATTAAGGACTTTTTGTAAATTTTTTCGCCAAGCCCTATCTACATGCCAGGAGCAATAAAGTCTAAAAGTAATATTAAAAACTTAATAAAAATTCTAAAACTGCAAATTAAGTATACCTAAATTCAGCAGGGTGCATCACTTGTAACCAAGCATTATAATAGGCTTCAGCCATATCTGACATGAAGACTCGAGGCTTAATTTTTTTCCCAATTTGTTCTTCAACACATGAAAAAAAGATTTTCATTATTTCACCATCATTCCTATTAGAAATTAGAAATGCACTTGGATAGCCTTCTCTAAGATTATCAAGTACGCGTATTGTATGGAGCTCAAATCCATATCCAGTTAGCCCATGAGTTCCATCCATACAAATACAATCATCACCAAACCTTAAAAAATAAATTATAAAGATGTAGGTAGAAGTACAGTTTACAAATATGTCAAGATATTTAAAAAAAAACGAACCTTAATAATAATTCCTTTTGTCCTTCAGTCATTATCATTAGCAAAAAATCTTCTTGCTTCAGTTGAGGGTACTCATTGGATAAACATTCTTGTGGCTTATAAAATAGAATGGATCACTAACTTAAACCTCATTTACCCAAGCATCAACAATAATGGCATCATTTGCATGACGAATAGCAGATCTGTTTAGGTTAAATGCTTTTTCAATATTGTACAGGTCTTTATTTGTAAGTAAATGGGTTCGCTCTAGTTGACAGTTAGTAACTGAATCCTGTACTTCGTCTAATATAGACTGCAATTGTATTTTTGCAGCTATTTTGGATGCAATATTTTGACGATCTGATGTTGACAGAAAAAGATGCCCCATATCTTCTTGTAATTTATGTCCAACATGAGTATTACAAAATTGTACTGTACATTTAGTAGCTTCAACTGTTAGAACACACATTTCAGCAGGACAATACCCATTCATTTTGTTACTCCCTTGTGTTTTAAGAGATCTAATATTTTCCCCCCTCCTTCTAATATTTCCTGATCTATGACATGTATATTTTATTTTTTTTTGCAGTTTATACTGGTTTTTCAGTGGTCACTTTTCACCCCTGAAATTCCTCAAAAGTTTGAAATATAAGTGTTATACTATATAGCAACTGTCAAGGAATGCTCTGTTTGGTAATGGGTAATCAGATATTTTGAGGATGGTCCTGTAAATTGACACAGTGGACACTTTAGTTCCTTTTTTATTACTGCATGCTGTGATCTTTGATGCATAGTTAATTTTTTTAACATGTCAAACTCAAGCATTACATTGTTTGCAATTAAATTTTTTCTTACGAACTAAATTTCTCTAAAAATTAAACAAAATAAGTAAGTAAGTAGGACATATAGATAATCAGGTAGTTTATGGCCTGACAGGCAACCTTTACATATCTATTGGGAACTGTTTAGCCCATGGACGTAGCCTGTCTGTTGGCATATTTCTCCACCACTCAAAAGACTTTTATAATTATTTTAATTAAGTAGGAGTATATAACCAATTAATTACTTACATTAGTAAGGATAGTCGGATTAGTCTGAAATTTGGACAGTGGATTATGTTTTATTTTTTATTCACTTTTCAATCTATACATTTTTTTACGCTGAGCTATAGTTTTTCTGTAATTCGCATTTAAAAAACTGATATTTTGACATAAATTTCAAGATGCCGCCGCCATTACAGCTGCTGTCAATGATGTGCGTATGCGTAGTACATACTTCTTGATCCAATGTTGCCACACTTTTCAAATATATTGTTTATTGTGAAAATATTAATTCTCAAATACAATCATAAAGGAATAATGATAATGATTATTATTTCCATTTTCTATTTCTAAGGAATACATATAACTGTATTTCATTTGTTATTAACTGCTGTTATTACGTATAGATTATAGCTTATTTCGTTTTATGTTGTATTTAGTTGGATGCATTAGTTATCAACTTCTTTATTAGTTTAAATTGTTAGATGATATGAGTAGATTAGGTTTTAATTTGTTTTTTTTTATTGGTACTCCATTTTGCTTATTTAAAGTACGCCGTAGCGTGTTTAACCACAGAATAAGAAACAATCATAATGCTCACTTTCAAATGCCGCCTTTAAAGTTTTCCAGCACGCTATCGCCATGTTTGAAACGGAACTATAGACTCGAATTGAGAAATTTGTGACAAGATACGACAAAACTGTAATTTAAATTTTTAGAGATTAATAATTTAGTTAATTTGAAATAATTTTAATAATTAATAATAATTTTAAAACAAATTTAATAATAATTGGATTAGTTTGGATTTGGTTTTATTATGTTATTTAATAGTCAATATCGAGTTTTCCAAAAACACTAATCACTAATTTATATGGACTTCTTATTAAAACTTAAATTCAATATAGTTACACCGCAAAAAAGAATATTAAATCATATGTGGTACACTTTTAAAAAACAATGTTAAATCATATGTACTATACTCTTATTAAAACTTAAATTCAATATATTTACTCTGCAAATAAAAACAATAATAAGTCATATAGAGTATACTCTTATTAAAATTTAAATTCAATATATTTACTCCGAAAAAAACAAATGTGTATGTGGCAACATTGAACCAGCGTGGAATATCTTCTGTTGTGCGCAAACGCGCTTGACTTGTTCTTCCAAATAAATGAATTTTGGCCATTTTACAATATTTTATATTTTTGGATAATTTAACGGAGAAAATGATTGGTATTTACAATTGATTTATAAATTTTATATAACTTTTACGGCTATTTCGTATTTCGATAATATTTTTCTCTTGCTAATTTTTGATTTTCTATAGTTTTTATGAAAATTTTTCAATTTTTTTTACATTTTTTTACTTTTTGTATGTTTCCGTAGACGGAAACATGAAAATTTTGCCTTTTTTTCATTTTTCAGGCTAAGTCCCCGAAAAATTCGCATTTTTAGGGACCCTTACTAATGTAAACAATTACCAAAAGGGTAGTATTCTACCTGCATGTTTTTGTTTTATATGGATTCTTAAACTACCAAGCTTTACAAATGTAGCCCTACATTCTTCCCATATAAAAGTTCCATGTCCACCTTTAACCTTTGGCGCCAATTTATCAATTTTTTCTAAAAGGATATATAACTTTTTCTTCTGTTAAATTGGTTCAACTTTTTCATGCATAGTGTGTGTTTTTTTTGGTTTTATTCTCTATTAATTTATTAAAAACATTTAATTCTAGGCGGTTACGAAGTTCGCCGGGTCAGCTAATTTTTTATAAATAAAAATAAATATTTATTATGTCATTGTCATTGCATGATAACACTGCACTGAATATAGACGCATAATACGCTACGCGTCTGCGGCGTCTGCGACCTGGGTCTATATTCGTTGTATATTTGCTATGTTTATTTTGGTTTTTGGATTATTATGAATGACGTTTATAGTGAGTAAATTGGAACTGGTTTAGTTAAGAATAGGAATTAAATTCGAAATGGAGCGCAGTGTAGGTTTTAAAGATTCTTTAAACCATTTAGTATTAACATGCAGTGAAGATAAAGATTTCCTTAAGCTAGATGTTAAATTAGAAGTAGAGGAACATATCCTCGAAAACAAATATACAGAAGAACCTCTATCAGCAGAGTCTTCTACAGAGAATATTACCAATATTACACTAGAAAACCATTCAGTAAAAGACGAAACTAGTAAACCATCTTATATTGTTGCAATACAAAATGTTACGAGTGAAATAAAGGAGGAACTGGAGGAAAGTATCTTAATTGTAAATCACAGCAAAAATAAATTTAAGAAGGCAAATTTAAAGAAATTGGAGACAAATAATTCAAATGAAGTTAACAGAAGTAGTAAGTTTTACTAGAAATTATGGATTTCTAACTGTACATTTTTTAACATATTAAAGCTTTATTATGTTGGATTTTAAGGAATGTAATAGCAAAGATGTATTTATGATTATTAATTAATGAAAGAATGTATTGTGCTTTTCTTATCAACTTAAAATATGAACTTTAAGGGGTCACCTTAAAATTTTAGATGTTTGGATAAAAACATCTAAAACTAACCTCAAAAGGCAGGTTGTTGAGAGTAAATACTTGAGCTCAGTGTTTGGCAAATAGCATTGTTTTTTCCTCATTTCTTCTGGTCCACTGTAGTGTTGAACCCTGTTGGTACTTTAATGTGGTACCCAAAATAATTGTCAGTAAATCCAATAATTCAAAAAACGATCATTGAGCTTATATTTACAGAATGTTTGCAGTATGTGCACCAAACTTCAGAATTTCAGACATATATGAGTCTCTCTTTTTATTATGTTATTATTATTTTTTAAACATGGCTTACATCTAGAATCTTAGATGCTGACTTGGGATGGAGTGACTTTAATTTACATAGACATGACAGGGACACTCAAACTAGTTCAAAGACTCATGGTGGTGGTGTTCTTATTGCTGTCCACAAGCGCCTTCATTCAATGGTTAGGCTTGTCCATGTCTCTGTGGAACATGTTTTTACACAGGTAATGTGTGGCACTAAAAAGTTAGTCATTGGTGCTGTGTAATTTCCGTAACAGTCATCTGGGTCTATATATGAGGAGCATTGTACCTGTATGTTGGACTTGACAGATAAATTCAGTGATTGTGAATTCTGTATTTGTGTAGTGACTACAACCTACCTGAGGCATGAAGTTTCTGCATCACTCTCCAGCAAATATTATTTGCACTTGCTACAATTTTCAAAATATGTCACAAATAAACGCTTTGCCTAACCTTAATAATAAATTTTTAGATCTAGTTTTCTGTACTCAGAGGGATGCAGTTGTGTAGATTTCAACTGATACTCTATTGAATACTTCACATCATTCAGATTATACTATATTGTTATATGCAGCCAATTTAAATTTGTTTCTTAAATATGATGTCTTCTATCATGATTTTAAAAAAATGAAATTTCACATTGTAAATGAATATTTAGCCTCATTTTTTTTTATCTAGGTATGTAAATACTGTGTAATTGGGCTTCCGTAAGTTGTTGGTTTTGAGCTTAAATTGAATTGCAATGAAGTTTATTACCAAGTAGCAATAGCTAATTTTTGTAATTTTATTTATTTATTAACGGATATACCATTTACATTGAAACAAAATATAATATTATAAAATTTTACAAAGTAGGCATAATATTGGAAAATAATTAGTAAAAAACTAATAATTAACTTGAATACAAACTAATATCACACAAATAGCAGTCTATTTATCACATTTTTAAATTGTTCTAAGGACTGGAAAAATAAATCCAGATCACTTTGGTACCTATTATATAGTCTCACCATATGAGTAAGAGGCTTGAAGTATTCATAATTAAATTGATGAAATGGTAGATGAAAGAACGAAGTATGCCTAGTTCCATGAAGAGTGTTAAGACCTAATAGATTTAAAAGTTCAGGACAATTTATCAAATTATTAGCAATTTTGTAAAGGAATATTAGGCAAAAATAATCTTTTCGCAGATTCATAGAAACCATTTTCAAGTGATCACCTATCATACTATAACTGTATGGGACAGAGAGGTCATGAAAAGCACATGATAGTGTTTACCAAATTTATGCTGAACATGATCAAACTTGTCTATAGATGTTTGATAGTAAGGTCCCCATAAAACTATTGCATATTCTAGTCTGGAGCGAATGAGACTATTAAAAAGAATTGGTAAAACAAAACATGAAAATTGAGAAGTGGTTCTAGATGCTTACGAATTGCTAATTTACAATCAAAATAAACACCTCAATCCTTACCACAGTCTTGCCTAGACAGCTGAGTGTTATCAATGCTATAATTGTAATTTAAAATTGTTTGCTTTCTGTGAAAAGTAATAACACAACACTTATCAATGTTTAATTTTAATTCATTTAGTTTGCACCAATCGCTAAATCTGCTGAGATCCTCTTGTAGCTGAATTTAATCATACTGACAAGTAATGACTTTATAAATTTTCTTCAATATTCACTATCTCTAGCACTGCCTGACTTGTGACTATCCATTTAGGACACACTGAGAATATGTCTGTAGACCTACATTTCAAAGGCCTCTATTTTGTTTTGGAGTGTCCTTATTTAATGTCCAGCTTTCCACACAGTATAGTAGTAAAGGAAACAATTCACATCTAACCATTCTGATTCTTAGAGTCATAAAAATGCGGCGCTATCAACAGTTGTTTTATTTTGACGAACGCAGTTCGTGCTTGTTCAATGCCTGAACGAATTGTTCACAATTGTTAACTTATTCGGAAACGACAATGATAAAAAAATTGATTTTGGCTTGCAGAAAAGTATTTACTCCCGTCGATTACTAGCAACTTCCCTCCATCTTCTGACTCTTAGAATCTTAAATCATCTTCTACGTTATCAATAAATCGCGGTCGTTCCCTGATTTAAGAGTCATCTCCTAAAATTGTTCCTAAAGATAATTCATAAGAAAATCTACAAGCTGTGTGAAAGTCAAATTTCCCTCAACCAGTTCGGGTTCACAAATGTTGTTGATATTAGAGAGGCTTTGTTCTCAGTACTAGTCTTATTCCAGAGATGCAGAGACGTCAACTGCGACATATACGCATGTCTGGTTGATTACGAGAAAGCGTTTGATCGAGAACAACACGCCAAGATGATGCAAACACTAAGAGAAGCACGAATTAACAACCAAGATCTGAAAATAATTAGAAATCTTTAGACAGCAAATCTCAGAGTTGAAGGTGAACACACTGACTATGTGAAAATAATGCGTGGAGTGAGGCAAGGTTGTATTTTGTCCCCTCTAATCTTCAATCTGTACTCTGAAAGAATATTTATCGAAGCCTTGCACGAAACTGAAAAAGGTATTCTACTAAATGGTTACCAGCCCAACAACATCAGATATGCAGATGACACCATAGTATTTGCGGACAATTTAGAAGACCTACAAGTTCTTATGAACAAAATCACGTATTACAGTCAACAATATGGACTCAATATAAACATTAAGAATACAAAGCTTATGATAATTAGCAAGAAAAGGATAACAGAAGGTCAACTCTACGTTATCCAATCCCCTGTAGAAAGAATGACGCACTACAACTACCTTGGCACCATAATAAATGAAGAATGGACCAACAACCAGGAGATTAGGGCACGCATCGGAAAAGCTAGATTCATCTTCAATCGGATGGGGGCTTTCTTCAATAGTCACAACCTTTCTCTTGATACAAAAGTTAGAATGCTGCGATGCTTCGTCTTCTCTGTCCTTTTTTATGGTGTTGAATGTTATGGGTGTTGAAAACGTGAACGAAGATATGTGCAGAAAACTGGAAGCATTTGAGATGTGGCTATATCGGAGAATACTTAAGATCCCGTGGACTGATCGAGTCACAAATGAGGAGGTACTCAGAAGAATGAATAAGTACCGAAAGGTACTGACCATCATCAAATCTTGAAAGTTACAATTCTTCGGACATATTATGCGAAATAAATCCAGATATGCTCTCCTTCAAGCCATCCTGCATGGAAAAATATTTGGAAAGCGAGGTCCAGGAAGAAGAACATCTTGGTTAAAGAACCTCAGAATCTGGTTCAATACAACAGATGTGCAAATTTTTCCGCGCTGTTGCAGATAAGATAAAGATTGCTATGATGATCGCCAACATTCGTAACGGATAGGCACATCAAGAAGAAAAATAGCTGGTATAATTCAAAGTTATGTCATCGGCGCTATAGCTCATTTTCATTTACTGCCAAAAAGTCTCTCGAAGTATTTATCTCTTTACGATACCAAGTAGTCTCTCGTCGTTTTGGGATAAAGTCCATGTTCCAGCAATAGATGTCAAAACCGATCTTATTAAGGTCTTGTAAATGTTGAGCCTTACTGCAAGCTTTAGGTTCTTATTTCTCAGATATTGCTGAAGACCTTAGAGAGTTCTGTTTGCTACTGCTACTGTAATATATGGATCCCATAAAAAATAAAAAAACTTATGGTTCTCTTTTTATTTTAGGTCATCCGCAGAATAAGATAATACAAGTTATGGAACAACATATGCATCAGGACTATGAAGAAAAATGTCACCATGGTAAATTTAAATGTGATATTTGTTTTAAGCACAGTTCTGAAATAAGTCATTTAAAACAGCAATTAACAATGTACACCGGTGGCGAACCTTTTGAATGTGAAATTTGTTTTACGAAATTTACCCAAGAATGGAAATTGAAAAAACATTTGGAAATACATACTGGTGAAAATTCTTTAGAATGTGTAATTTGTTCTAGAAATTTTAGTGATAAACGTGACTTGATAAATCATTTGAACACATACATTGGAGTAAAATCTTTCAAGTGTGAAATTTGCTTTAAAAAGTTTATTTGTGCTGATACTTTAAAGAATCATTTGAGTGTTCATAATGGAAAAAAAATTTTCGAGTGTGAAATTTGTTTTAAGAACTTTGTTAGAGTCCATGATTTGAAAAGACATATGAAAACTCATACTGGTGAAAAATCTTTTAAATGTGAAATATGTTTTAAACAATTTGCTCTAAAAGGTAGTTTTAAAAGACATATGACAATACACACTGGTGAAAAACCTTTTGAATGTGAAACTTCACATAATCAGGAGACACATCCTTTGAATGCTCACAATGAAATGTCTTACAAGTGCGAAGTTTGCTTTGAAATATTTTCTAATGTAACTACTCTGAAAACACATTTGAGTATTCAGACTGGAAACAAAATGTGTGAGTGTCAAGTTTGTTTTAAAAAGTTTTCACGAGCGTGTGATTTGAACAGACATTTGAAAACGCATAGTGGAGAAACAAATTACAAATGTGAAATTTGTTTTAAGAACTTTGTTAACGCTAGTGATTTCAAAAGACATTTGAGAACTCATACTGGTGAAAAACCTTTTAAATGTGAAATATGTTTTAAACAATTTACTGAAGCCCAGAGTTTAAAGAGACATTTGGTAATTCATACTGGTGAAAAACTTTTCGAATGTGAAATTTGCTCTAAAAACTTTTTTCGAGCAGGTGGATTGAAAAATCATTTGAAAACCCACACTGGTGAAAAGCCCTTTGAATGTCATATTTGTTCAAGGCAATTTGCTCAGAGATGTTCTTTAAAAAGTCATTTGAGAACACATACTGGTGAAAAGCCCTTTGAATGTGAAATTTGTTTTAAAAAATTTACTCAATCTACCAATTTAAAAAGCCATTTGAAAATGCACACTGGTGAAAAGGCATTTACGTGTGAAATTTGTTGTAGGAAATTTATTCATAAAATTAATTTGAAGAAGCATTTGAAAACGCATACTTAAGGAAAATTTTTAAAACATGAATTGTGGGATCACAGCATGTAATATCATCTGATATACTTATCAAACATTTTTAAGCATTTCGAGTGTGAAACTATTCTAAGTAATAGGTGGAGAAGTAAAAGAGCAAATATTGTGGCGCAGGAGTTGCAAACATTCATTTGTATAGACATTTCAGAGAACCTGATGTAAAATATATTAAGGTTACACGATTCAAATTAAAATGGAAAAGATTCCCTTGCCGACCAATTCATCAATCTGTTTGCTTTGCAAGTTGTAGAAAGCACAGTGGTAAAGATTTGAATTCAGTTTCGCCATGAAAGAAATCTCATGATTTCTCTTGTTATTAGATGACCAGATAGACCAACAAAATGAAACAGATACTAAGGGTTGCCGAAATGAAAACCCTAAGAACAATATGATGACATAATGAGAATAGACTCCCAAAAAAATTGCCCTAGAAAACAACCCTCCCGGTTCAAGACCTCCCGGAAGACCACCTAAAAGATGAAGGGATAGTTGGTAATCTACCTCCCAGGAAATTAATCAGAGACAGCTTCAGAATTAAACAGATCGAAATATAGAAGAAGCAGAAGTTATTAGATGGCGTTGTTACGCCTATAAATAATTATTGTTCTACGACGGGATATATTTTGTTTCGATTCAGAGCAGTGGCATATACCGCTCTGATGAGACCTAATAGGCTGAAATACCTATACACCCTTCATCGAAATAAACATCCAATACCGTCATTATGTTTTAAAATGGAAAAGATTTTAATTAAAGAGGATCCGTCGTACGTCGAATCAAGGGAGGAACAAACCTTAGGTACCTTAATGGCAACAGTCTGTTGAATACAGAAAGGATTTGGCTCATAATGTGCTATAGTACCACTGATGATCATTCATTTAAAATATTAGTTAAACAATTTAATTTTTTTAACTATATGGGATTAAAACAATTGTTTGTTACATATAATACCATTATTGTCAGTATGTCATTTTATACATTATTAAAATGTATTTCTTGAAGTTAAGAAACTCATTTGTTTGATTGCAAAAGAGAACTTCTAGAGATTGTCTGTAGCCAACCTGGTTCCATATATGTCTCATGATTTTGTAGGGTTGCCTAAACTATATTTATGTTTGAATTTGTTACAACAAAACCAGCAATATGCTTTAAAGATCCAGATGAAGTTTTTCTTTCACCTAATAATAATTGTCCGCGACTTTCAAAATGTCATCGTCAATTATATGATTCTCCTCCAAGTAGTGAGCTTCTATAAATGTATTTTGAATTATTTTATCCTCTTCAGACTGAGATTCTTTCGAATCTTCAGTATTTTCTACCAAATTAGACAGCAATTTTTACGCCAGATTCACTAGTTTCGACAGTAATGTGACATTCTATAAATATCGCCACCGAATATTGTTCTAAAATATACCACCTTAATCTATATTTAAAATCTATTGGTATCCCCCTCTGTGGCTCAGTGGTAAGAGCGCCTACCTTTAAACCTAAAGGTCGTGAGTTCGAATCACATCTGGGTAGAGAAATTTTCGTTTATTAAAAATTAATGAATGAAAATAATTTCTATCCATGTGCGATCGGTACACACCGGAGGGACGGAGGGACCTCAGACGTTCGGATACAATTAGCGTCTCTTAGCAAAGACAATGACGTCGACTTTGCTAAGTATCAAGACAATTACTCTACACATACACACACACTACACTAGGTACCTGACTGTACCATGCCAATGATCATAGTTGTCGAGGCATTAACTAAAAAAAAAAAATCTATTGGCGAAGGATGATCATTTACATCACCCATTCTTCGAATATAAGAAAAAAAATTCTCTAGCACTTCTTGATTCAACCTCGAAATATAGTTAACGTTGTATTTTCTTTGTAGGTAAGGAAGTACCTCTTTCAGAGATCTTATGGTAGACCATATTTCTTTTTGAAATGGAATAAGTCCTTTATGTTTATCAACCCGCATTGAATTGATCATTTCTGACATTTCATCCAGTAGACGTGCCTGCTTATCTAAATCTGTACCATATGCATTTCGTGTTCCAGTAATTATCTTTTGGCATGAGTCCATTTTCTCCAGCATAGCTAATAGCTTTTGCTACAGAATTTTACACTAATTGAACTGCAGGTCACTCTTTGCCTCATAGAGCCTTTTAAACAGAGATGATGTAATGTCAATTTATCTGCAATTGTCAATTTAGTAGCGCTTCAAAGTAATCATTGTTGATTATTGTCAATAAGAAAACCATGATCAATTACATGATTTCGGGCAAATTAAATCAAATGTGGAGGGTCTGCAAAAACCAAATATTTAAACTTATCACAGGGGTGATTAGTTTACTAAAGCAGAGTATATTGCTTAATAAAGAATTCTTTAGCAATATACTGTGACTAAAGTATCTAGACTAGACAATATTCATAATGGAAATTTTTCACATTTGCTCTCGGTGAAGATAGCTTCAAATTAGCCGCCACTTAAGTTTCACAAAAGGATATGAAGGATGAATAAAGAAATAGAAATTTTAAACAAGAAAATTGGAATATCTCGGACATATTACAAGTGGAGGGAAATACACCTTGCTCCAACTGATTATACAGGGAAAGATCCAAGGAAAGAGAAGCATAGGGAGCCGTAAACTAAGAGAGTGGTACGGATGTAGGGGAGAGTCACCCAAGTTGGGACAGTTTTTTTTTATAACAAATACTTGAAAATCTATAGATATTAAAAAAAAGTTTAGGTAATAAAATGAAACTTTATTCTAATTATTAACACATTATAGATATAAACTAAATAAAAAATAAAAAATATGCTTCGTTTTTTGTTATTAAAAAAAAAGTGTGAATGTCCCATCATGAGAAACCGGAATCCTAAGATGGTCCGTTGGGTTTCTCAAAAAGAGACATTACTCTATACAACTTCCACTTTAGATAATTTTTGGACGGTAGTCACTCCGGTCTCATCAATATTCCAGATTATATCTGGAGTGAGGTGATGTTTATTATAAATACTTTCCAGGTTGTTGAAAAAACTTTGGACTGCATTCTTGTTGAATCCTGTAGCTCTAGCGTATGAGGTTGCTTCTGGTTTTCTCAGAGAAATATTTCTCTGTCGACTCAAAAATCCATAAACCCACTTTTTAGATGCCATTCGAGTATCTTTATTAAGATTGTTAGCAATATTATTGCCTTGGGCAAAGTCAAATGCCAGACAACGAAATTCTTTATAAGTGATTCCAAAAAATCGCTTTTCCATTTCAAGAATATGATCTAAAATTTCGTGTTCCTGTTCAACTGAGAATATTTGCCTAAACCGACCAAGATATTTGTCATTTTCGGTCACGATTTTATTTTTGTTTGTAACTCGTTTTTGAAGAGTACATTATGGAACATTATATCTGTCAGCAGCTTCTCGAAGCGATAGTTCGTTATTCCGAACTTTTTGTACAGCTAGAATCATATTTTGAACGGACCAGTTTCCACGATCAGTTTTTCTTTTGTAATAGGAATTTGGATTTCTATTTGGCATCTGTAAAAGAAAAATATATCAGTGCCACTTACGAGATATAGAGTTCACCGAATAAAACATTTTTTAATGACACATTATCTTTACTTAGCTATAATCAAAGTTAGAATATTATGACCTCCTTGGGTATAATCTAATTACTGAACCCCTACTTATAAATGGTTTTAGAATGAATTACCGTTATATGTAAGAATTTATGAGTAATTAATGATTTAATTAGTTAAAAGTAGGTAGGTATAAGAAGAATATCTGTAGCCATATTTTAGTTCCTAAGATGGGACGTCCCGACTTGGGAAGTTCACCTTTGTCCCATCTTAAGGGATTTGCACCCATTTTGTAAAAATCTTAACCGATATTAAACAAAAGCTTTAGTGGCAAATACTTTACAGTGAAATGCAATGACTATAAACTCTGTTATTGACTAATAACGTTAAGTTTCACAGATACTTACCATTAACGCTATATTCACTATAATGTTGTACGTAAATAAATTTAAAAAAATATGTAAACATTAACAACTTGTTCTGACGAACGCTACCGGTATGCTAGCTTCGTGTCGTTTACGTGACAATACGACTGAATGGCGAGCTTTCATTCTTCCAGTGCAGGTGTTGCCACTTGTTACAGGTTTTCTAGAATTGCTAGTGTCCCTACTTGGGAACCGTCCCGTCTTAGGTAACTCTCCCCTAAATCAAATGAACTTTTCAGAGCAGCTGAGCCCTTTCAAAATTCGGAATAGCTATGATGATTGCCGACTTCCGCCGCGGAGATGGCACTTGAAGAAGAAGTTTCATATCACGAAATATTGCGTTGGTAGTGTTGCCATGACCTTATAATGTCACAGTTGTCTACACTGTGGTTGTATGCTTCAAATACAAATTACAAAGAGTATTAATATTTTAAAAGTACATTTTTATTATTTTATGTATTCTGTAATTTTATGAAATATATAAAACAAATTGTTTAATATTCTTTTGGGAAGATTTTCACATTTGGTCCCATTGAAGTTAGCTTCAAATGGGTTTGACAGAATGAAATATTGGTGTTTCGCAGTGTTGAAATTTACATTACAAATGAAACATACGCAATTAAAAGCAATAAGATATTTAAAAACTAATATGTAACGATTACGAAAAAAGAAAAAAAGTTTTAAAACAGTTTTTAACAGTAAATAGAAAAATGTCAGTATAAATAATAAAATTTAAAAGGCATCTGTTGCAATCTGGCAGCTGATAGTTTGAGGGTTCTGACTCTATTGAAAAATCTATCCGCTAACCTATCAAAGGACAATTGCCAAAAAAAAATTCCAATAATTTATTACAACTAATATCAAACGAAACAAATATTACTTCATTAATATTTTATATAAGGTATAAAATTGCAGAATCCATAAAATAACATGATAAAAATGTACCTTTTAAAAGCTTTATCTCTTTGTATTCGAAGCATATAACATATACATTATAAGAACATGGCAACTCTGCCAACGCAATATTTCATTCTGTGAAACTTAATTGACAGCTGTCAATGACAGCTAATTTGAGGCTATCTTCAATGACGAGAGGCTAATTACCACCTTGGATTCCATCTTCCGATTGGACGACATTTTTGACACCAGTTATTGAGGTTAGGTATTCACTCTTCAGTATGTATATGTTCAGTATTTTTGCGTGTTTTGTTTATTGTTGTTGTCGTGAACCTCCTGTTAAAAATATTTACTCAATACTTCACTTTGGTTTATTTTGTGTTTTTTTAAATTATATTAAAAATGTCTAATGTGTTTCATTTGTAAGAAACCTTATTCAACAATATGTGAGATAAACAATTTCCATATTTTACATACTGACACCTACCAAACACATAACTACTTTTATCCACTCATTTTTTTACCTTCATATCCATATCCTTGTAATTTAGCCATAAGCAGATCATGGTTAACTCTGTGGAAGACTTTAGAGAGGTCTGTGTCCATAGCATCAACTTTAGACCCTTATGTTCGATTGAATTAGCAATAAAATTATTATACAGTATTAAGTTTGTGCATGTAGACTTTCCTTCGGCAAAGCCATGTTGTTAACCTGAATTTTATAATACCTATATAGTGATATATAGATTTTTAATATGTAATTTAGTGATATAATTTTACAATCAATATATTCCTATAATGATAACATGTAATAAATAAAAATAAATATAATATAAACATAATTTATTTATTTCATCATTTTTTAATATATAAGGTTTAACCTAAAACACTTAAATAAAATATTCTACATTACTGAGATAGAGTGTTACACATATACACAATCTTATTGTTTGGCTCATTTCACATGAATGTCTTTAATCCCCTAGATTTTTATTTTTGGGGACATATGAAGACCCTATCAACCAAACATATTTCTGAATACAGTAGTCAAAATAAATATTTTTTTCAATGGTATTGTCTTTTGTATCCAATCATTTTATTAACAAGCTCGAGATCTGAAAATTTACCAAGGAAAATTGTTTTAGTATAATAAAAATTATAATTATGATTTTTTATGAACTCAAACATCAAAAATCATTTGAAATGGAATTTACTAAATGTATAACTTTATTAGTGATTAGTTATGACTAGTGGAAAATGGAATATAGCAATAAAATAAGATTATGTATTTTAAACATATCCTCTAACACAAATACATAACTTGAAAACTACTTACTCTTTTACATTGAGACAAAAGGTTGATATTTACGTAAAAAGTAATGAATAATCAAAAAACATGATGTAATGATTATTACAACAGCAGCATAGATTATGGGGAGAAAAAAGGAAGTATTTAAAATCCATATAGAGAATAAAAGATATCATATTGTTGCGAACTGTGTTTTTTATTTTAAACATAACATTTTAAAATAAAAATGTTTATATATTGTTAAATACAAACACATCATGTATGTTACAATTAACTACAAACATGACACAATAAAATAAAAATATATTATAACCTGGCCTAAAAGTTTTGAAACCCCTTAGAGAGTATGAAGAAATGTTATTACTGCAAATTTTGTATTATAAAATTTTTAAATAAAAATGTTTTTGATCAGCTTCATCATTAGATAATTTGATTGATATTTTGCAATTAAGGTATCATTTTATATATTGTTAAATAAAAAAACATAAAACCTGTATGTTACAATTAATTGCAGAAAGGTCAAAAGAAACAAATTTAAAATACATTACAAAGTGGTTCAAAACCCTTAGAAAATACTAAGAAATATTGCCATAAACTTTTGTGTTATAAAATTGTTATATAAAAATGTTTATAATTTAATAAGCATTATACCATATATATTATATATGTTACAATCAATTATCTAAAAATTCAAAAATTAAATCAAACCTAAAACATACTACAATACAAATACACCTAAAAGATACTACTACAAAGAACAATGTTTATAACACAGACATTACAACTTTTTAGAAGTTTTATAGAAGCTTTGGGAAACCTGACATAAAATTCATTAATATAGCAAGGCTTACATGGATAGAGCATTTAATTAGGCAAAAGGTAGGTGCAACAGTTAGAAAGGTTTTTGACACAACAGGGCTGATATGACAATGAGCCAGAGGAAGACCAAGATTTAGGTATCGAGACAACCTAGAGGATAATTTAAAATCTATTGGAATTAGAAAATGGAGAAGAGTTGTCAGATACAGGGGTCAATGAAGGATTGTTCTGAAGAAAGATGTGATGCCACTGAGATACATTGTCACAAACTATCTACAAATTGTTCTCAGTCCTCAAATCTGCCAGATTATAATATTTTAAAATATTCCCATTTTACTGTGCCCTTATTGATTGCCCTTTATAACTTCTTGTCTTTTTTTCTTCTATGATTGTAAATTTGCGCCTGTCCCAAACTTCTCATGCCTCGTTTACATTTGAGAAAACAAACCTTTTTAGTTTTAGCTAGAGTTTGTCAACTTGTTCCTGTAAGATAAGAATTTTTTGTTAACATTATCAAATGTCTTTAGACAAAGTCAAAGAAATTTTAAAATAGTGCATTAAAATAAAATATTTGTACCTGTTTCTGCAATTTTCTCTACTTCAATATTAAGCGGCTGGTACAGTTCAACTGGATCAAAACTGTAATCAAAATAAACAGTTTGTCTTTATCCTTCTACAAATAATTTTTGGTTGGTACTCTCCAATAAAACTTGTCCTCTACTTTGAAGATTCATTATAGATTGTAGTGGAAAACAGCATGTAAAACACATAAAGTAACAGCTTTCTAATAAAACAATCTCTTACCAATTGAGGTAGTTGTTGATGTAGATGGCCCTTGTATTGGGTAATCAAATGCATTAAAAAGAAATAAGTAACACAGCTTCTCTCTATAATCTTTAAGTATAATATTTATTCAACACTTTGCTGCAGCCCGATTGATGTAATCTAACCGGCCACCTGCTATTTCTATAACTCAAGGAAATATCATTTTTCATTTTCATATATTTTTTTCCTAAACAATTTAAACATAACTTCAATAGGTCACGTGACAAAATCGTCGAATAAAAAGATAGAACATACTGATTACCTAACCTCACTAACTGATGTCAAAAATGTCATTCGGTCGTCCAATGAGAAGATGGAATTCAAGGTGGCAATTAGCCTCTCCTTCAATGGCACCAAATGTGAAAATCGTCCTTCTTCACGGTTCCTAGACTTACTACGGTTGCCTCTTCCGCCTAACCAATGAACATTAAGCCGGATTGTACTCCTGTGACGTAATTTGAATCTTAACATTCAGCCCTGTGATTGGATGGATGTATCAAAACAAAAATGTTTTATAAATAAAGTAGGTTGATTTCATGTAATCAAATGAACTATTTTACAATAAAGCCAAGTTAAAGTTATTTATTTATGTTATACAAAAAAGTACTTACATGTGTCAAAAAATAGTATAAAATAAAAATTAACATATTAAAAACATAAGGTATAATAATGCATATAAGGCAAATATGTTATATATACGTTAAGGCAAACATTACACAGAATATTATATTCTGGGTTCCCAGGTATACACAAAATAGGATTCATCATCATCAATACACAAGCCAGTTCGAAACATTAAAGTTAAAATTTAGGAATTCATTACTTGAAAACTGCTTCCCCTTCAACCAATGGACTCTTTGCTTCACCACAATACTCAAAGATATCATTAAGGTTAATTTCCATTATTAAATGATACAAATAACTCGTCTTAAACCAAACTAAACATGGAAAAGCAATGGTAAATATTCGAATGTTATGTTTGTTTTTGTTTATACCATTTATATCGGCCATGACACTGCAATCTACCTGCCCCATTGAGTTAGTATATACTAACTCAATGACCTGCCCTCTACATTCAGTTTCAATCGCGAATAAATGGGTTTTGTATTCTTGTGTTGCTTGTGTACTCCTGTGACGTAACTCAAGCATCCCCACCCTAGTCGGAGTCGGAAGAGGTATCCGTAGTAAGTCTACGAACCGTGGTCCTTCTTTATTTAATTGCAGTTAATTATTAGAAATTTTTTGGTAATTGCCTTTTGAAAGGTTAGCGGATAGATTTGGCAATAGAGTCAGAACCTTCAAACCACCAGTTGCCAGATTGCAACACAGGTCTTTGTGACTTTATTATTTATAAGGACATTTTACTATTTACTTTTAAAAACTGATTTAAAAATATTTACTTTGGCAGAAGCTATATATATTTAATCTATGGCAGAAGCCAGAAGTATAGAGAAAGTGCCATGAAGTTGGCTGCACATGACTGACAGATTTGTATTTGGCAGTATTGCCATATCACAAATAAATCACGAAAGAGTATGCGATATAGTGTTACTAAACATTCTTTTTAAGTTTTTAAAAGAAGTTTAATTAATTTAAATTTAATTTATTATAATTTAAATTAATTTTGATTTTTTAAGCTTTTATTCAGATACCATTTCATCCCAAAATTACAAGAAAATATTCATAAAATTAAAATTTGCTGAACATCTGTTGCAATCTGGCAACTACATTAGACAGTATTGCCAAGTTTATTTACTAATCTACCAAAGGCCAATTATAATTTTTTTTTCTAATAACTAACAGCAACTAATATCAAAAGAAACAAATATTCATTATTTCGTGTCTCATATAAATTTAAAATTTTTTAAAAAATACTCTATTTCATAAAATAATATAATAAAAATGTACTGTTTCAAAGCATATTTGAGGCATAAAACATACACATGAGCATATCATAAGGACATGGCAATACCGCAAACACAAATTTGACATGACGTTTCACGTTTGTTTATACCAAATTCATGGACACTTTCTTTCTCTTTTGCCTTTACTTTTCCTATTTTGATAATTCTAAATTCTTAATTGATAAATATCTTATTGCTTTTGATTTCATATGTTTCATTTGAAATGTAAATTTCAACACTGCCAATTAATATACCAGGACTGTGAGTGTGAACAAATACAAAAGTTGTGATTGTGAAAGTGGAAGGTGGAAGTGAAAAATGTTTTTCATAATTTAATGTTGAACATTGAAGAGTTTAGTCACAGTATATTGATTGCCATCGATTTATAAAGCAATATACTGTGATTTATTTTTAGTGTTCAAATTCGAAATGGAGTGCAATGAAAGTGTTCAAGATTATCGAAATCAGGCAGTATTAATATGCAGTAAAGATGAAGAAGATTCGCTTAAAGAATATGTTAAATTAGAAATAGAGGAATGTACTCTTAAAAACACATATACAGAAGAATCGGTACCGACTGAGTCTTGTTCAGAAAATATCACAGTGAGAAACTGTTTGGTAAAATATGAACCTAGTGAATTTCAAGATTTTAAGGTTGAAATAAAGGAAGAACTAGAGGAATGTCAGTTAATAGTAAATCATAGCGAAAATAAATTTGAAATATCCAATAGCAAAAAATTGGACCCAGATAGTTCAAGTGAAATTACCAGAAATAGTAAGTTTTAGTACTTAGACATTTTGAATTTCTAACCTTAAGTAAACCTTTTTTTATTCAGTATCGACATTATTGTGATTTTATCACTAATTTTACATGTGGTAGATATATAGCTTCAGCAATCTAGCTGTGACAAGTCTAGATTAAAATGTTCTACAACATTTAACCAACTATTCGTACAACTATTCATACAAAGAAATGTTATTTCATGATGCATGTTCCAATAAATCTTGCTTATAGATATCCCAAGTGGAATAGAACTGACATCAGTGTGAATCATGTTTTTTACATGAAAAATTATATAAAATATGTCCAAAAAGGTTTTTTTAGCAACAGTACCCAGTGCAGATAGAAATATTTGTATTATAATTAACAAATGTAAAGGTAAATTTGTTGTTAAACATAAAGTGGTAAATATAATCAGGTGTCTTCAATTCTTATGTTGTAACAAAGTTATGGTTTTTAAATTTAAAAATTAACAAAAAAATTGAATCATATGTTTTGGAGTACATTTTTAGAAAGAGTTTTAAGACATAGAGTATCATGATGGGTTAAAGATGTCCACCACTTAGGTGTAATTTTTTTTGTCTTGGGGCTGCGGTGGGTCGATATTGTCACATATTTTAGCAATTACATTCTGATTCGATTGAAGTATTGCTCGAAATCTGATCCCAAATGTCCGAACTGTAATGGTCCCCATCCCGCCTTCTCACAAAGATGCCCACACCACAACACAACCCAATAATTATAATAAACCCCAACCAGTATACACATTGAAACAAATCCCTTCATATGACCTCTCCTCCGATATGAAATCCTTAATACACTTCATATCCTTTTCATCGTCTTCCCTAAAAAGAGAAGCCCAACCATCCAATACCTTAACCAAATATCCAACACACTATGGATATGCCATTACCACCTCCTACTTTAATAACCTTATAAACCAAACCTTCACCCAACTCCTTACATAAACACACAACACTACATCTAAATGCACACTGAATACACATTAAAACCCATACACATCATTTAAACACACACCTATCATTTATCCATATATATATATATATATATATATATATATATATATATATATATATATATATATATATATATACATATGTTATTTTGATATTTTGATATTTAAAGTCTTGGTGCGCCAAGCAATAATTAGCTAATTAATTTTTTTGATTAATTAAAATTATTTAAATGATATGATGATGACTCTATCACAATTTTTAATTCTTTTATCTCAGGGTTAAATTCGTGCTTCAATATCTATGCTATTACATGTGAAAGGTAAGGTCCAAAGAATACCGGAATAATAAAAAACACATATGATCTAACACTATATATTGACATAAAAATAATGAAATAATTCACACTCAAAAGTTTTCAGTAAACAAAATCTCATATAATAATTCTCAAAATTTTGTTCTACGTACGTGAACAATCAAATTTAATGGTACAAACAATATTATGGAATCTCAAAATTCAAGTATTACTCTAAATCTCCTAATCAAAAATATTTATATCCTTTCTAAATTAAGTAAAAAAATTTGTGTTATCAATGAAAGAAAAACTGCAAAAAACAAAACTATCTCTCTCTGATGATGAGTGGTCCAAATCCTTGTTATTTGTAGACTATACTATTTACTCGTGGCCACTCCCTAAGTAATCAGCAATCTTACAATAAATTGTTGCAAGTATATTGTCCTTAATGATCTCCTTCAAAAGCACAAATCATTCAAATTATGATAGCCTTTCTCCTCTCGATAAACTGAATCTCTCGTTGGCCCGAGTGAAAAATGACTCTTGGAATATCTTCTCTTTACGATAAACTGAATCTCTCGTTGGCCTGAACAGTGACTCTTGGAATATAAGTAGAAAAATATGACTTACAATATTTTGCTGCTTCAGCTTCTGTCAGATACACTAACTCCACAAAAACTCACTAACATTCAACACTACTGCTTGCTACTTCTCGGGAACCGCCAGAGAACAATCACTGTTCGTCTTACAGACTTGGAAAACCAACTGATTATCTTTTCTCTCTCCTAAATCTAGCTAAACTTTCATTCCTACATACCTATCCCACCTTTTTTTTCTCCGCCAATCAAAACTCGTCACAATTCCCCATTCTTTCATTCCGATAACAAACAAATTTTTACCTATAATTATAAAATTTCCTAAAACTTATTTACAAATAATATTTTTCTATAATTCTTAAAAACTAACAAAAACATCTTTCCAAATCTCTTCTATTGTCTATAATCAATGCGTTAATGTATTTGGAAAACCCGGTTCAATTGTTCTTTGGATTTCACTTAAAATTATGCGGGTCACTCAAGTATAGTATAACAAAAGAAATAATTTATGCATAGTACATTTTGTTTAATACAGGTAATCCAAAAATTTTAAATACTTTCCTTCTTCGAAATGTTTGTTGGGTATTATCCTACTTATCTGAATTATTTTAATGTTTTGAATTTTGAAATATTTTAAACAACAAATATTTTTCTCGATTTTACATATCATAACAATATATATATATATATATATATATATATATATATATATATATATATATATATATATATATATATATATATATACACACTCAAAAATGTTTTTGCATAATGTAATATTTTCAAAATTATCCACCAAATCTGGTGAAATTTATTTTTTTTGTAACAAAATACTTTATTATATATTAAATTGTTTGTTTTGAAAAAGAAACAATAAACAAAATTTAAAGAATTAACAATTTATTATTATTATGTATAATATGTATTATAAATATATTTTTTTAAATTTGTACAGATATAAGAACTAATACCTAATATGCCGTATTTCCACCTCTTGCATCAATGCAAGACTGAATGCGATGTCCCATGCTTTTAATAAGTGTATTAACGTAGTTCTGGTCCATGGTGCCCCATTCTTCAATCGCTGCTATTCTAAGGTCTTGTAGTGTCCTTGGGGGTGGCTGCCGGGACTGAATTTTTCTTTTGAGCATATCCCATCCGTGCTCAATGGGATTAAGGTCAGGTGAGCAAGGTGGCCATTGTAATCTGACGATATCTTCTGTCTCTAAAAAATCTGCTAGCTGTCTCGTTCGATGGGGAGGCGCATTGTCGTCCATTAAAATAAATTCTGGACCAAGAGCTTCTCGCCAACAAGCGTACAACAGGCCTAAGAATGGTATTAATATAAATGTGTCCATTCATGTTACCAATAATAGGAATTAAAGGAGTTTTATTATTTAGCATGATGCCGCCCTAAAACATTATGGAGCCACCTTGATATGGGACTCTTTGGACAGCTTGGTTAAGTCTATCCTGTCGATTTGGGTTCCTCCAAATCCTAATTCGGCGATTATCCGACAAAAGGCTAATTATGGTTTCATCAGAAAATAAGACCTTTCCTCATCTGTTGTCATGCAATTGTAAATGTTCATTGGCCCATTCCAGTCGAGTCCTTTTCTGCTCTAACGTAAGCTTTGGTACAAACAATGGTCTTCTTGTAAATAAATTCGCCGAATGTAACCTGTTTCTAATAGTCTGATCGCAAATTACAATATTATGAGCTTACTGGAGCTCTCTTCTAATGGCTGGGGCAGTCATAGAGGGGTTTCTTCGGGCAGTTAACGTTAAAAAGTATTCTTGGACATTGGTAGTAATTCTGGGTCTTACTCTTTTTGGACGATGGCTAACAGAATTCGTCTCTCGATATTTTTCACAATCCACGACACATCACTCTGGTTAACTTCAACCTGGACAGCAACGTCGAATTGTGTGTGGCCTTCCTCAATCAAAGTAACGATTCTAGCTCTGTTGAACTCAGATATCACTTGCCTATTCATATTGTTTTATACTACAAAGTGAATAAAA